TGTGGAAACCCTAAGGTAAGGCTATGCCAGCATCAATTAAAGCATGTTTAATCCTGAGTTTGTAATGCCCGTATCCAAGGCATGCATACTAAGTCCTGTTGATACGTTAAAAAAAAAAAAAAAAGTCTGTGCTCAGACAAAAACCTTTTTAGCTGTTCACTATATAAAGTCTGTATAAAACATGTAATTAGATTCTTTGAGATTATTTGCCTTTCTTTCCAAAAATTGCAGTCCAACTTATGCAGCTGCTGCTTGAGGATATTTTTTTCTAAGACAGTTCAGTGAATTAAATATAACCACAAGATCTCTTGGAAGCAGATCTCCAAGCTTTCACTAACTACACATATGTTCTGCTGTGGAAAAACAAACAAAACTAGCAATAGAGTTTAGGATGGTGCAGGGTTTTGTTTGTTTGTTTGCTTTTGGTTTTGTTTTGTTTGCCCATGAGGATTAAGAATTTGAAGAAGTGGTCTGATATTAGCATACAGATTAAAAAAAAGTTGAAACTATCATTGCAACACAGTCTGTAGTGAACGTCAAGCAACTCTAGTCTTCCTTACAGTGAGGTATGAGGTATGACTACCTAATGGATGACTCCAGCCTTCTTCAAACTATCTGTGTGCAGCCTACAGCTGGATCGTGCTTATTATAGAAAAAGTACATACATTTTTTTCACTAAACTAAATTATTCAAGCTTCTATTCCCCTTTGCCATTTTTCTCCCACCATCAGGGCAATAAATGCGTGTTTAATATGTGCCGAGGATGTTGTAAGAAAAGAGCATTCAAAGAGACAGCAGACTGTCCAGGTAAGCATAGCAACAACCAGTTTTGTCCTTAAAACATTTGTTCACTGATTTCTATCTTTCATCTAGCATATATCTTTCAAGCAGTACTTGAATCACTGAATATGATGGGGAGGGGGAGGGTTTTTGTTTGTTTTTTTCAACACCATACTCATCTTTCTAAAATTTTATGGATGTTCTTCCTGGTATGTGTGGTTTTTCAGATGTTTCTAAAGCCTTGGGTTGCATTTTCCAAACTGTGAGGAACCAAACATTGTTTCTAACTACACAGATTGAGCTTGTTCTGTTTTCCAGGGCATTCATCTTTATTTCAGTTTTTTAGCTATCCTTTTTTTCTTCAGGTCATGGACTACTTTTCAAGACCAAGTATGAAAAGTCCCTTTTGTGGCAAAGTAGTCAAAGAGAGATTCAAAACCCAGAGATTAGCTGGAGAGAAGAGGTGGATGTAGAAGAGACTACTCTTAATGAAGGAGGCTGTTGACAGTGCCGTGTGAAGCTTTGGAAATTAATTGTATAGAATCTCCTGTCAGGCCTCTGCATCCCTGGGCCAAAGAACCTGCCATCTCCAGAGTATCATCAGCTGTGTGACCTTGTTCCACGGGTTTATTCTGGGTTCTCGACAAGTTTTATTTAAGTCAAGGCTGCTTACTCAGGGAATTATCCTGCATTTGAAATAAAAAAGGATGCAATTAAATTTCTTATGCTGTCTTTTAAGGACATGACCAAGTTGAGTGCACCCTAAGGGCACGCATTTGGGGAAAGAGACAACCTATACAAGTTGTCATCACAATCTGTCTCCTGTAACTTCATTTATCCTTCATGTGCTGTCTTTAATATGGAGGAATAAACTTCTTATGTTAGAGCAGCCTTCTGAAGTGTTAAAAAAAATTACACTAATAGATAATGTCTCACATTTGTTTGAGATGCAGCATACTTTTTGCAATGTTGCAATGCAGACAGGAACAAAGAGGTACTCTGATGGTATGACACTAAACTATTTCATGATTTAAGTTTTCAGTAAAGCCAGATGCTATAGTTGTTGCTGCAGTGCTGCTAGCACTGTATTAGTGCTTTTCAAAGCATCAGGCCAATGCTTTTCTATCTTATAATGGTTTTCTACCTTATAAAGTGAGGCCAGCAAAAGGAAACAAAGCAATGATGCATAACAGAGCCCATACAAACAGAACTATACATCAACTCTGCCTAGCTGAGAGTTAGCATGGTCTTACACTATGATTACAGCCAGTTAACATGCTAAAATTAGCAAAGAAACTGATAATTTTAGGTGCTCCAAATCTACCACTCACCACATGAATGCAAAAAGCTGTAATCTGAACTTTCAGCAGCCATTGTAGAAGATTACAATCTTGCAATTAATGAGATAAAGGACCAGTGTATCAATTTCTTAATAACCAGTGCTTGTGATTGAGGAGGTGCTATTACAACACGAATAAAACTGAGAGCACCATTTGCCACTTAAACTGGGCACACCTGCACCTGCATTAACTAGGGATTGCTTCCAGGCTAGGCAATACACTAATTATCCTATTTATCTCTAATCAAAAAAAAATTGCAAACACAGCAAGATTATGTCCTACTTTGCTCCTGTATCAGAGGACCTCAAGAAGAAACAATGTGTGCTATTTTAATGGCGGTAGAGGGAGGGGAGAGCAGCATTGTGCATGTGGAAGCATGTCAGGAATTTAAAAATCACCCATTTAACACTTACTTGAGCTTGAGGTACAAGAGATTTGTGCACTTAACCAGTTTTCACAGGCACTGAAGAAAGAGCAGTGCTAGTTCATGCAACAAAAAGAGAAAGCCAACTGCCTTTATTTGGCAACCTGCTTCTCAGACAATGCAACAGAACAGCACCTCTCCCCCCTCAAAAACAAAACAAACAGAAAGCACCACCACCACCCAAATAAATCAAGTGAAGTCAGAAAATGCTGAATCTCAGTATACATTTACAGGGCACCAGCTTAATGTACACACAGACTCCACATTGGCATATATTCCCGTAGGATGGCAGAATATTGAAAGCTATGGCTGCTGAAGTACTGGAGAATTGAAAGACTGATAGCTTTGTGCTAAAGTACAATGAGCTCATCTAGCCTGATCTCCACATAAGACAGGTTCCCCAGAACTTGCGTTTTGTGTGTTGTTTGAGTTAGACCACCTCTTGCTCTTGCATCTACCTGTGTTGCTATGGCTTTTAGTTAAGTATACCAAATCCATTAATTAGAATTTTGGACAAGGCTCTGCTGTCAAGAAATTGTTTTACTTGCATTGGAAATTCATGCAGCTCCTAACCCCCTGAATCTCATACTGCTCCCCTAGAGGTTGATATAGATCCTTATAAGCCTGTTTCTCTTCAAGATAACTTATTTGGACTGATCAAGTTATCCTATAAGATAATCTAACGATAGGTTGTTTTATAGGAGCCTACACAATCTTGAATTGTTGAAAAGATGAGAATGCAGTAGTCAAAACAGTAATAGTTGAAGAACATAAAAAGCTCATGTGCAAAGCACAGAGGAATTCACATGATCTTTAACAGTATCCAAGATAAGTGGAAGACAATTTCATACAATTTTTAAAAACACTGCCAATTAGCACTTGGTGGCTACTGAAAAAAAAACGCTGTGTGCATCTCACATCTCTCAACGTGTGATACAAGCAGAGAACACTGTTTTTTGGAGCACATTGCCCTCCCCCTGTCCCTCTCACCTATTTCTCTTCCTTTATAAAGTAATGAAGAAGAAATAATAAGAACCTTGACTGACCGAATTATATTTTCTGCTGGCTTTTTTTCTCCTGAGAAGATGATTTACACTCGAACTATTCCAACACAACACTCTCAAAATTTCTGCCATTTCTTTGCTAATAAAAGTGACCTGGCTCCACCAAAACTACCTTCCTTCAAACTGTTCTTCCTTTATCACTAGCCAGGACAGGCTGAAAGAGAATTTACATTGCATGAGCCCAGCATAAATTATGGCAACTTTTCACCCAAAGGTGCTGAACAAGTCAATGAAATACACTTAAGTAATGTTCCCCTGGACAAAGCTTAGCTATATTAACATCTTGCAGATACTACAAAACTTCATACTCTGAATTAGCTGGTTGGTCACAGGTAATCTCTGAAAACTTTCAGGAGTTATCTCATCCTGTATTACTCTTTCCCCTGGGAATTAAAGATTAAATTAAACTCTAATCCCTGTAATTTTGAGGAAATAGTTTATGAATGGGAGTTATACAGAACTGTATCCTTGCTGTGTTGTATTTCCTAATCTTTGGACTGACAAGTAGTTAGGATGGAGCAGGAGTTGAGCAAAACCTAAAGGAACTATGCCCAGACAGCCCTGACTCACATATAGGAGACTCTAGTGCAACAGTAGCTTCCTTCTAAAGTTACTCAGAAGAGGTAGGTACCTGTCAATAGCACCACACAAAAACCATACAGTGTGCTTGAGGAACACCAGTGAACTAACTGTAAGAAAGCGACCGTCTTAACTGCCCAAAACAGGTTGTAAATACATTTAACTGCAGACAAAAAAGTGTTATCTTTGTCTTAGCTTTGCAGTTGTTTTGGGATACAGCAGAATTCCTAATTTACTGCACAGAAACCACTATTGCCACCTAGTGGGTTTAATGCTGTTACAGAACCTTCACTTCCGCCACATCCCAACCAGAAAAAATGAAATTCTCACAAGACAGGCAACTGCCAGAGGTGAAAGACTCAGGGAACCTCAAGAGAACATGCTGAAGAGGCAGAAGACTTGTGATAACAACTTACGATTCCTTCAGTAAAAATCCACAGAATGGGACAGAAGGAGACAACTAAATCAAGACTGCTGAAGATAGGCATCAGAAAAGATGGCCAACTAACACAATGTACTGAATTGGGCTGCAAAAATCATCTTTTCCAAAACAGTTAAGATGTCTTCCTTAGAACTCACATCATTGCCTCATTTGAACTAGGAAGAAAATATCTGAAAGCAACAAATTTTACATACTACAACAGAATGTGGCTTTGCTTCAACATGAACAAAAGGCATTAATATTTCCTAACAGTTCTACAAGGTCTAACAATAATTTACCTGAGGACTCAACTTGCCTGTCTCTCAAAAGTGTCCATCTGTGCCTGACTCAAAGTTCTTGATTACGTAGCTCCTTTTCTCTCCTCCAAAATGTGGTATTTTTTCTGTGTCAGATAGAAGATATTTAACCAGAGATCTCAGAGCAACTACTGCTTCCATTTTTGGCATCTAAGTCATAAAGAGGGAGAAGAACCAGCGGGAGGGAGCACTGTTGCAGTTTCACAGCTGTGTACAAAAGCAGCGCAGCAATTCGCACTTAGACCATTTCCTCAAACTGCCCTTTCTTCGCTGTCTATCCAAGACATATCTCTAACCAAAAAAGAACTGGTCTGCCAGATATCATCAAGCTTAGAAGAAAAACAATTACTTAAATATACGTAAAAAAGCAACTTTAACACAAAACTTCAAACACTACAAAGCTTTTTAATCCTGCAGTTTAATGCACTAGAAATAACAGACATTAAAAAAAAAAAAAAAGCATTAACAATAACATCTGTAGTCAATTGATAGTCCAGCCAGATCCAGCTGGATGAAAGTTCTTAGCTTGCCTTATGCCACAAGACTGCAGTGACTTTAGAACATTCAGTGCACATCTCCATTCACAGAATATGCACACAGACATGCAGGACGCCACCTTTAATCCCTTGATAACAGGGTAAGCAGAATAAATGCACCTGGAGAGCAGGCATCTAGACTGTCTGCTTTCAGCTCTGCCCCAGGACTTGCGTGGCATTTTATGACATTTATCCATGCTGACAAAAACAACTTTTGCACGTGCTGGGAAACAATCACACACTGTGGCAAGAAGACTGGACAAACAACAGTTCTTGCACAAGGTAGAGATTTTACTGCTATGGTAATACTGACCCCAAAGCCAAGTCATGTGCAGGTGAGAAACAAATTAAAAAACAAGCTTCTGAAAACACAGGCCAGACAGAAAAAAAATAGATCCAGGCGAACACAACAACCTCAAATACAGACCTGTGTCTGAATGCATGGAAGAAGTCCCATGTGTTCAGATATAGTAAAAAAATCCTTAAGAGTTTCTCGAAAGAATCTCGTCTCCCATCAGAACTCTAGCTCCATAACCAAGAGCAATGCACTTGGTTTATTTGAGTTTATTTGAACAAACAGAAAGCAGAGCACTGCTCAGAATCAAGGCAATATTTCAGGCCAGCAAAATTCATCTTTGATAACACTTATCCATTCAACTTAACACTATTTTTGTAGCGTTGAACCAAGAAAATTAATAGCATCTGAAAAACCCTCTAATCAGCATCTGTATGAATAACCGAGCAACTGTTCATGGAGTGGTGGATGAAGGAGAATGGAAGGAGATGTCCTACCAGCACTGAAATGATAACCCATTGCAAAGATTCCACTTTTAGAAAGAATTTCTTTTCAACAAGAATTAAGGTTACTAGAATATTCATATTATTCACCCTCCGCCCTGACCCTCTCAACCAAGCATAGTGAAAGAGGCAGGGACAATTTGTGAAGCGCAGCAGTTTTTGGGGGAAACACTGGATACAGTCCTGGAGGGACCATTTCCAGCACATGAAGTTTTTCACATGTTGGTGCTCATTCGGGACTGGCTGTTAGCTGGAGTAAGCTCCCCTTGGCTACCTTCTCTTGGAGGAGACTGCAAGAAGAAGACCAAAACACATGCTAGTTAGTGACACGTGTACATATGCTAAAAGGTGCTTACAGAGAGATCAAATGAAACAGAGATGAAGCACAGCAAGACAGTTGCAGTAGGAGAGCCTACCCCTAAACTCATAAATAACAATGATTTTGGCAAGGTTTTGTGTTTATAATCTTTTTGTAGTTACTGTTCACAAGAGCTGTTCATAATTAAGTCAAATCAGATGTTTGAAACCATTTTTCTTTACTAATTACAAGGTGCAATGAGCGCAAGTTGAATCAAAAACCTGCTGGCTCGAATCTTTTCTGGCATTTAATTATCAGGGAGATGAATGTACTACAAAAAAATAATACTAAAAATAAAGATAGGCAGGTGGCCTATCCTCCCTCTCTTTCAGAACTGTATCCTAGAAGAAATATTTGAAACAAAAATGCTTTTTATATTTCTTTTGAAAAATAAAAGTGAGAAATTTTTCTTTATTTTGATAAGACAAAAAGTAGGTCTACCAAGAATTAGCCAGAATCACAGAGGCAACTCAAGCATACAGACTTCACAGAACATTCTACATTGCACATCAGTCAGTGTATTAGCTAGAATTTCTTGTTCCTTCTGTATTTATTATTTAACATAGTAAAAATGTGTCCATTCATGAGCACAATAAATCTACTACAGAATCTTCAGCTCACCAGCGTTTGCACTTTCTCTTAGAAACAAACAAAAAACAGTAACCCTGCTTCAGATTGCACATTTAACAGGTCCATACCTTGACATGTATCTGGTTACGCAGGACCGCTGCTCGCAGGATCATAGCTTTAGCACGTCGTTGAAACTCTTTGCCCATTAGCAAAGACTTCTCAAAAGTGGTGCTGCGCTGGTCTACATCTCGAGCATAAAGAATCTGTAACCGACAAAGAGAAGTGGATGCAGGAGCTACAACAGGGCTCCAAACCAGGAATCCCTTTCTGCATGTTGGAACAAGGCCAAGGTATCATGGAATCTGAGTTTCCATGCAGATCCCCACTATTGAAAACACCAGTTACTACAGGTAAATGAAACTTCGAAGACTCTCAGGAATAAAGAGCTTCTAAGTACTACTACAACTGCTCACTTCTGTCCACAACCTGTGGCTCGGGTGCACTAACCTTACTATGAGAGTCTATTCTGGCATTGATCAGTCCCTCCAGGATCAGCTGCGTAAGTTCATCTTCCAGAGCAGCCACTGTAGTATTAAAAGCAGTGGCCATCTTGCGCATGTCTGCTGACACATAGGGGCTGAAGTACTAGGAACAAAGAAATAGTTATTTGCCACAAGCTTTCTTCCTAGCCTCTAAAACACCGTAAGAAAAGCAATTAGGAAGAGATTTCCAATCGCATTGTTCATCTGTCTCTCAGGTTTCTGGAACAATTACCTGAATAAGGGCACGATTTCGAATTTGGGTATAAAGTGTCCTGACATGAGGTGCTAGGTACATATCCAGCAGCAGGTTGTCCTATGCAGGAGGAAGCAGAGAAGCACCACAGAAAGAATATATTACTCTTATGTTATTAAGCATGCATAGATATATGCTTAAATTTTAAGCATATTAATATTCACTACAGCAAGACAAGACTATAAAATAATATACAATAAAGGAACACACATACTCTCTCTCTATATATATATATATATAAAATTTATCTTCAGTCTCCATTACCAACATTACTCCCATGTCTATTTACCATGGAAAGGCAGAAGGCATAGCAAAAGAGTCAAACATGGAACACACTCCCAGTAGCTACTTTTAATATTCAATTCTTACAAAAGGCCAGAGGAAGGAGACTCTTCCTGCCCTGTTCCCCTGCAACTCACCTTCATCTCATCCAACATCTTCAGGCATGAAGCATATTTGGATTCGTAAAACTTGAAGATGATGTCACGAACCTGTGGCTCCAGCTCCAAAAACAATTTGAAGGAGCTACAGATAAACAAGCAGTGATCAGATGGACCGTGGAACTCACCAAGACACTCTCCCACAACCTCATCACTCCAAATTACAGAGTTACAAACTCTGACCATCATTTAAAAACTCCAAGAATGTACTCTCTAACCTACCAAAAAAACATTTTCAGGAAGGCAAGGAGCCTGGAAGACGGAAAGGTGCAGCACAGCATCAGGGCTGTGAGACAAGAGACTTTGACAAAACAAGTAGTAGGAATGTCTGTCCATGCAAGGCAAGAAAATAGGTGGGTTAGGTCAAAACCAAGATAGACCATGAGAAGACATAGGCAAAACTGGTGTTTGCTGTCCTCTGTGCTAGCCAGCTTTGTGTTCCCTTACAAAAGCACAACTTCCTCTAAAGTACAGTATGCCACAGGTGAGTTCAGCATGTAACTGTGTCAGGAAAATAACACATTTTAAATGAGGTAGATCTTTGGGACGCACATGCTTTCTCAGTGCTCTCCCAATTCTCCAGCCCAGATTTCTGAACTCTGCAATCTTACTTTATAAACCAGCAATAAAAAATACCATGGTAATACTCCTTTTCCACACAAGTTTAAAATTACTGCTTCCATACCCTTAGCTATCCAGGACTTAGTAGTAGAACCATTTAAGTTATGATGCAGAGGTCCACATTATTCCAAAATGTGTAATTCTCATAATCTTGCACATTTTGCTGTTAGATTGTCATATTAACCAATGTTGTATTAACAATTATTTGTAATAATACGATTAACATACACTAAAATAAGTTATAACATGAAGGAAAATCATCTTATAGCTGCCTTCCATAACGCTGCCTCACTCTGATTTAAGATCCAATGTTGGCAACTGCTAGATACACAGAATAGTGGACTAAGCAGTTTTTAGTTATGATCTGGGTTGGAAACTTCTGTAATATTACCGAAATTTCAGCTATGATAAAACACTCTGGGAGTGAAATCTCACCTAACACTACCTTCTAACTAAGGCTGAGTGCTTCTTTCTCCCCCATTGAGGACTACTACTCTTGTCTGAATCCATTTTCAAATTAGAGCCCATGTCCCAGAAGATGTCCTGTACTGTACAAACTGCTCTCGAGGTTATCACTCTCACCTGCTGGAGATAACATTTCGTTGTAGTTCCTGACGGTCAAAGGTAGCAAGGGCACAGAGACCACCGTACACAGCCACATTGCTAGGAGATAACAGCTAGAAACAGAGAGAGAGATCTGAACTGGAGCATTATCACAGACTACCAAGAAGACACAGGCCTAGAATTAGGTATTTTACCCCAGGCATGACAAATGCAGTAGAAGCACTCAACATGCTCCCTGGCATTCATTCAGCTTAAGAATGAATGACCACTGTTAGCAGCAGAAACCAATGCCAGCAAACAGTCTTTTGAGGGGACTGCACTGGTGCACAAATCCCACACTCAATACCCATGTGCCATAGAGTAGACAATTCAGAGAACTCAAGAACAGACTGTTTGTTTTTTGCTTTTTTTTAAATATGATTCATAACACAGGAGGATATGATTCATACGCAGGAGTATTGCGAGGGTAACTACAGCATCTGAATTTTACAATCTATTCCTTAGGAGAATTTCCCATCCAAAACCAGCACACAGCTCCCTCTTGGTCCTTACCTCAGGGAAATCACAGTGATCAAATGATGCCAACAAGAAGCACTTCGCTGCTTGTTTGTATTTTCGAGCAGCTAGCTCAGCTAAGCCTGAAACCAAAAAATGGTTAGTTCTCTGTTAACAACAGCATATGAAGTAGCAAAAATGCAACATCTATGGAGCAGAACAGGCCCCACATAATTGCTTGTGATTTTGCTATTGAAGTAAAATAGACTCTTGGTCAGTATCTAGCATCTGGTAGAAAACATTGCCTCACACCAGCATCCTCTCTGAAGAAGCTTGAGGAGTGGAAGGAAAATTCAAAACCTAGCCACAGTACTTCTACCTCAGCTTAGAATCACAGAATCATTATGGTTGCAAAAGATCTTTAAGATTATCAAGTCCAACCATAAACCCATCACCACTATGTCTACTAAATCATGTCCCCGGGTGCCTCATTTACATGTTTCTTGAACATTGCCAGGGATAGCAACTGCACCGCTACTCTGGGCAGCTTGTTGCAATATTTGACCACTCTTATTGACTGACCCCTGCTTCACTATCATCTCCTTTTGGGTTGTTGTAGAGAGCTATAAAGTCTCTCCCGAGCCTCTTCTTCTCCACACTAAATAACTTTTAGCTTCCTCAGCCGCTGTTCATAAGCTCTGCGCTCCAGCCCCTTCACCAGCTTCCTTGCTCTTCTTTGGACACGCTGCAGCAATTGCCATTTCTTTCTTGTAGTGAGAGGCCCAAAACTGAACACAGTGTTTGAGCTGTGGCCTCACCAGCACCAAGTCGAGAGGGAGGATCACTTCCCTGCTCCTGCTGGCTGCACTGATACACGCCAGGCTATCTTTGGCCTTCTTGGCCACCTGGGCACCCTGCTGGCTCATGTTCAGCTGACTGTCGACCAACATCCCCAGATTCTCTTCTACTCTGCAGCTCTCCAGCCGCTTAGCCCTATGCCTGTAATGGCTTTAACATTTCTACATTTCTGGTGAGAAAATATGACATATTGCAAATATAAGAGAAGAAATCAAGGACACACTGCTGTCAAAGAGCCCTATGGAGAGTTAACAGACAGACAGGCAGACAAGATCGAGGAACCTGAGGGATTCACTCACCTGCTGCACATTTCAATTTGGTGAGAATTGCTTGTGTCTGACTGTCTCTTTCTCCTCTTTGCTAGAGGATGGAAAAAAAAAGCAGCAATGAGCAAGTATTATGAAAACCTTTTTGATTACAGCTGTCCTTGGGATAGTTCATCCTATCAGTTAGCTTACAGTACTCAAAATCAAGATAACTTCATTTTATCTATCCTGGAGAATATGACAAGAAATGAAATGGATACAGAGAATAGAAAATCTCTCTACATTTATCATAAACTAGATTTTCTACGCACATATTTGGAGATAAACAGCAATGAACCTTAAAAGGAAAAGTATACAAATCACAGTGTAGACAGATTACAGAAAGAACACACTGCAAAATCAAAGAAGCCTCAGAGGGAACTAAACCTAAAAGGGGAAAGGAAGAGATTCTGATACAAATTTTGGAGACAGAAAGCAAAGAGAAAATACAAGTTAAAAAGCAGAAGCTTACCTCTGCAATTTCTGGTGTAGACTCAGCCTTGCTTACATAGCTCAGGACGTGAGACCAGTTCTGGAGGTATACACTGACCTGTAAAAAGCCAGAAAAACAGCACAGTCCAAGCCATGAATAAACAGTGTTACTTGCAGCAGCTCTGTCACTACAGATACAAGAAGTATAACTGGACACAGATGGATAGCACAACAGGTGTCAGAAAGACTTCTGCAATTATTCTCTGCAGATCCTCCTACCTTGATGACATTGAGACACATGTTAATAACATGTTTAGCACTGGTGCAGTAATCACGGGCTCGCGAGTAACATTTGAGAGCATTGCTGAGGTCCCCACAGTCAAGGTAATGATCACCTAAGTCATCATGGCCTCTCCTAGGGCACAGAAGTTAAAATACCAACTCAGAAAGTACAGAAAAGAAAGGGAAGGCAGAGTCATAGTTTGCTTGAAACAAGTAACTTGTCATACTGACCTAAAGGACCTGAACACAGCTGACTGCCTGTGTTAGATGCCTAGAAGAGCAAAACGCTCTCCCTTGTTTCAGCAGAGCCTTCTACATCTCACCTGATACTCTCCTTGATGGAGTTCCCTTTGTAATTTTTCAGATCTGTGTCCAGTTTCTCCAATTTAAGAAGAGCTTTTTTGCGTGTAGCTTCTACCCATGCTGTGTCAAGAGGAGGTGGTTCAATCCCGCTATCAGGGACAGCATCAGGCGTGTTCTGCAGTTCTCTGAAAGCAAAGAGTTTGCTACAAGTTTTTCAAGACAGAGATCTAAGATGTACATCACACTGCTATGCTAACAAATGGTACTACATAAACCAAACAGATTGAAAAGAAAATAAGGTAAGGAGGTGAAAGAAAAAGAAATGGCTGCTATAATTTGCAGTGAAATATCAAAAAAGAACTATAGATGGATAAGTGAAGTATCAAAGTCAATCATCATCAGGCTACCGTTAACAGTAAAGCTGTTGTTAGGGGAAAAACATGGCAACAATGCAAATATTTAAATAGTGTTAAATTATAAACACAAGAATATCCAGAAGAAACTTAATCTCCGGAGTTTTCCGTAGGAGTAAACGTGTTCATTAATATTTGAATGAGCTACAAGGACTAATCTCACCTCATCACCTACCTGTAGCCCTTTAAAACATTAAGACTCCAAAGCAAAGCAGTAACTTTTTTGTGTGTTTAATCTTCAAAAAAGCACCATGTCTTAGGCCTGGAAACATATCATTAGTTCATCGCTACCAAATTCTAAGGAACAGATAATTTGTATAAGCAACACTCCACTGTGACATGCAAAGTTTCCTCCTGTGTCTTAATCTGTCTTAATGCAATCAAAGCCACTCTCTCATGTTCCCATCTCTTTCTCAGTACCTGGCGGCCTCAGACAATTTTCTGTGGATTTCCTCGTACACATCGACATTGAAAGTTCTCTGGACAAACGACAGTGCCATCTTGAGAGCCTCCACCCGCAGCTGTGGACAATGATCAGCAATAAATTGCAGACGCTCAATTCGCATCAGACCGCTGTAACTTGAGGCATACTGCTCCAAATCCTGCAAAAAAGACCCGGTCTCAGAAAGCAAAGATGACAACACTATCTCGTGCTGTGACTTTGTCTGGATTTCATCCTTTGAATCAAAGTTTCCAAGACCAGACACCCATTCTTGACAGGAACCAAATAAAACAATATTCAAGGCCAAATCTAGCACTTGGGCATCAGGAAACACTAGATACAGGTTGGCTGTTCACATTTAATTTGTTCCCTCCGTGTGCCAAAGGTCAATACATAGTTACAGATGTCGTGAACACTTTTTGTAACACGATTCCTCTGTGATTTGGTGAAAGAATTAACATACTCTGAGACTGAAACAGCACTGTGTGGACTGAAGACTTGTCTTTAGGATTCCTGCTTTATTTGCTGCAGAATCTGAGAAATGCAAAACCAGGAGCATTCCTTCTTCCAGTGCTTCATGTTTGAGGCTGCACAATACTCCTGACATCTTTGAGCAATTTCAGCTTTACTCTTTGGTTCTTTGATTGTCAAAGGGGGATTATGTTCCTTTACATCATATAATTACAGTGAAAAAAACATCTCTAATATTTGTGGAACATTTAGATGCTATACTAACAAGCAAAACAAAAAACAAAAAAACAAAAAAAAAAACAAAAAAAAAAACAAAAAAAAAGGAGGAGGAATAAAATGAAGCTGCCCTCCAAAGACCTGAAAGGAGGAAGCCATGCCCAAGAAATTAAGCCCTTCTGCCCTCAATCTGCCCTCAAAACGTACCAGAGTGGGGTTTTCCACCACATAGTTGATATCGGGTGCATTCTGCTGATCTTCTTGAGGATCTACGTCAATCTGCATGGGCTCTACTGCACCCTGGAAAAGCAAAATACAGTCAGAAGTAGCTCATTACCTTTGAGCAGGAAACAAATATGGGACTCAATCTGCTAAGGACCCACCTAAATCTGCATGAAATTATAAAAATTAAAGAATACTTTTGACCTTTTAGATGTAATCATGATTTATCTCTAGCAAAGCCATTGCCCAGCATGAAGCTTTCTCTACAAAAAAAAAAAAAAAAAAAAAAGGCAGCATTAACTCTCACCTTTCATCAGAGCATTTTCCTTTTAGAAGCTCCACATATAAAGTATTAAAGCATTAAAGTGAAGGGGTCAGCATGCCAGATGCTATGCAGCATCTCAGGGTGCAGACTAGATTCCAAAAGACTAAGATGGCTAATTTCCATTTCTCTTTCTTGAGCAAGGGTTGGAGTTTCACCCACTGCGATCTCACACACTGATTTGACTTGAGTCTCCAAGATTTAAGAGAAATCCCCCCAAACTTGAAGTAAAGTTTGAAGTAAAACTTGCCATTTTTGGCATGGGAGACAGGGAGGACAAAAGTCATCTAATTGTCTAGATCACCACACAAGAAAACAACAGTGCACAATACTGCTTAGGTTGACACATACTGAGCCCATTACTTTGCCCAACTTTATTTAACTTGCTTCTTTGCTTAATTGTTGGTGTTGCTTTTTTGGGGTAGAACTCGTCTACACCAGAAAAATCTGATCTATGACTTCGACTCCTCACGATCCAGTATTACAGGAATGAAAAATAACTCCAGGTGGTAAAACATAGTGCTTTGTGTCCTGCCACCCTGGCAGACAGCACGCTACACTTTTAGGATAGGATTCTGCTAGTTCTGACAGTGGATAGGAAACTAGCAGATAAGGAAAAGCACGTGCACATTAAAAGACTGCATGGATCTCAGTGGGAGATACACAATATTTTTAGACTAGCTATTCATCTCAGAAAGCAAAGGGTTTATTCCGTAACTCCTCACGAAGCACACAAAACACTTGCTCCCCAAGGTGTGTCGGGCCCAGAGGATCACCCTGCTGGAAGGTACCTCATAGAGCATTGTACAAGCTGACAAGCTGGCGCTCAAGCTGAAGTCTCCTGCTGTGCTCGGGAGGAAGAGATCTGACCTACTGCTGCAGGGGGTGCAGTACAGATCTGTCACTGACGAGGAAGCCGAGGTGGCTGCTGCGCTATCCCTCATCCTGTCCTGACTCTCTGCACCCCCGCGCCCTGACACAGAGCTTGCTGGCTGCTAAAGGCAAGAGACACGGTTAACTCCCGGAGAGAACTGCTGCACCGGCTCCCGCCCGCCCGCGATCCCGGCTGCGCGTCCGCCACCAGCGGCAGCAGCACAGAGAGGCCCACGGGGCCTCGCGGCGGCTCCGTGCCGGGCCGCGCCAGGCGGCGAAAAGGCCGGGCGGGGCGGGGCGGGGCCGCGCGGGGGGCCGGGCCGCGCGGGGCCGGACGGGTCGGGCGGCGGCCCCTACCTGCAAGTTGAAGACCTGGACCGGCAGCGGCATCTTCCCCTCGCGCCGCCGCTTCCGGCTGACCTCGGAGCGTCTACCACTGGCCCAGTTTCCGCTTCCGGCTGGGCGCCGCCACCAGACCGTGTCCGACAGGTGAAGCCCTTAAAGGGCCCGCGGGCCGGGACCGCCGCCGCTGCCTGGTCGGGAGGCGCCGCCCCGCGGGCCCGGCCCCTTCCCACCACTCCTCCCCCCTTCCGGCCCGGCATGTGGCGGCGGCGGTGGCGGCGCCGGGCGGCCGCGCCCGGCGGGGCGGTAGCATGAGCGACGCCTGCGTGGGGCCGCGGCGGGCGGCCGCGCTGCTCTCGCTGGGCGCCGCGGCGCCGCTGCTGCTGCTGATGCCGCCGCCGCCGCCGCAGCCGCCGCCCCCGCCCCGGCAGCCCCCGCCGCCCTCGCCCGCCCTCGCCCGCCGCCCGCCGCCGCCCAGCGCTGCGGGGCAGCAGCGCGGCGGGCCGGGCGGGCGCGGGCGGGGGCCGTGGCGGGGCCGCCTCGCTCGCTCGCCGCCGCCGCCGCCGCACCGGGGCCGCCCCGGCGGGGAGCACCTGCGCCTCGAGGACATCTTCATCGCCGTGAAGACCACGAGGAAGCACCACCGCTCCCGCCTGGAGCTGCTGCTCCAGACCTGGATCTCCCGCGCCAGGGCGCAGGTGAGCGCCCCGCGAGCCGCCGCCTCCCGGCTGCGGAGGCGATCGCGGCCCCGAGCGGCGGCTGCTGCCGTGGGGCAGCCCCGCTCCAGGAGGAACACCGAGTGATCACGGAGATCTCCAGCGCTGGTGACCCGAAGCTGCTGTTTTGGACAGAATAGCCCAGTGGTCGAGCTCTCTGTAGAAGAAAATCAGAATCGGTTACCCTCTTCAGGTTTTTTAATTACATTTAAGCATATTAATCCCCTCTAGAGAGAGGAAAGGAGGAGGAAAAAATAAAAAGTGAGAGAGAAAAAATCCTCATAATTATGACTTGAAACTGAGCAAAGTTTTAAATAGCTTTTGAAATGGTCTGAAAGGAAAACACCATTCCCACACGCTTGTTTTTTGTCTTCTACAGACATTTATATTCACTGACTGGGAGGATCAGGAACTACGCCTGAAAGCAGGTGAGCTGTGTTGCTTAGATGCATGCTGTTTCGTAGAAGGCCTTATTTTATGCTGTGCAAGCAATTAGGGAAGTTAAGGTAAAAGTTTCACAAGAGAAAATAAAGCTTTTACCACTTGGAAAAGATCTCTGGAAGGTACCAAATGTTTTTTGTCTTGTGCCTATTTCCTTCCTGTTAGAAAGCGTCAGTCTGTCTGGTCAAAAATGATAGTAAGCATTTTCTTTGCATGCTGTATGTGCCTACAGCAGTTGCCTGCCATAGCTTATTCTGCATGTATGTGACATATGCCAATGTGCTTTTTTTTTTTTTTTTTTTTTTTTTTTTTTTTTTTTTTTTGACTACATGTGTGTCCTAGACTTTAAAGACTGATATTTATTTCCCAGGGGACCACATGATCAACACCAACTGCTCTGCTGTCCACACCCGCCAAGCTCTCTGCTGCAAGATGTCTGTGGAATATGATAAATTCCTCGAATCTGGGCAAAAGTAGGTAAAACAAATTATTCTGTTTGTTCTGTTTCTTACAGTTTTGCTTTTGCAGGAAACTTCAGGATCTTCCTCTGCTCCAGTAAGGAAAGTAGTGTTAGCTAAAGTCTGGTGTTGGTGGTGAGTGTTGGGAAGGGAACATTGCAGAAAGCAGTGTTTATAAACAAGTATCATCTAAAAGACTACAAGAATGATAATCCGGATGGGGTTCTTTGAGGGGTCTTCTAGAAAGATGGGTATCTTTCTAGAGTTAGAATATATGGTGGTTTCACCGTAAACTTGTTTATCTGTTCTAAGCCCAAAAGATGCAGACTTGGCTCTGAACTCAGTTCTTTGACACTGCTCCGTACTAACTTTCTTCTTTGTTTATTTGAAGGTGGTTTTGCCATGTGGATGATGATAACTATGTAAATCCACGGACTCTCCTGCGCCTCTTATCTGCCTTCTCACACAGCCAGGATGTTTATGTGGGGCGACCAAGTCTGGACCACCCCATTGAAGCAGCTGACCATGGTCAAAGTGATGGATCAGTAAGCAAGTTTTGTAATTAAGCTGAGACATCCTGACCTTTCAAGCTTTAAAAACCTTGACAGTTCATCAAATCTCCTTTAAAAACAGCTGACTTAATCTGAAAGCAATGAATCTGGAACTGGTCACTGTCAGAGACAGTGTATAGGGTTAAACGGATATTGACCAGAATAACCAGGGGATAGCTGCTGTTGGGTACAAGTGGGAATAGAATTTTTCATTTCCATGTCTGCTCTGTCAGTTGTGTTAACTTGATGGTCACCTGGAATCAGCTCCAAAATGGAGTTTCCTTTGAGAAAACAGCCTGCTAGGCTTTCAGCAATGTAAAACAATGGGGTTAATATGTAGTTTTGTTCTGATTCAAGTGCAGTAGCTGATATCTTGCTCAAGTTTCCCTCCCTATCCAGCCAAATGGGGAAAAAATGTATTATCAGTAACTCGTATGTGTTTGTTCTTGCTGCTCTTTGGAAGACGACTGTGAAATTCTGGTTTGCCACGGGTGGAGCAGGATTCTGTATCAGCAGGGGTCTTGCCTTGAAGATGAGTCCCTGGGCTAGGTAAACACTGCTCATAGCTGCACTTCACTGATATATGTTTAGTACAATTGAAAGTCTGTTATGTTCCGTCTTATAGCCTAGGGAATTTCATCAGTACCGCAGAAAGAGTACGTCTTCCTGATGACTGCACTATTGGCTACATCATCGAAGGGCTACTGGAGGTGAAGCTGCGGCACAGCCTGTTGTTTCATTCGCATCTGGAAAATCTGCAGAGGCTACAAGGCGAGTCTGTGCTGCAACAGGTAGGATTAAGCTTCATGTCCTTATACCTCAGTCTGATCAGAAAGGATGCTTTCTATAGACAGCACTTTGAGCAGAGAAGGATGTCTGCATGTTGCTCAGAGCTTTTTTTTTTCTTTTTTATTTTTCCCCTTTTTTATCACTCTGACATTTTCATTAAGGGACTGTAGGTGGAGCTATAAGGCTATCTAGGAGCTTTTTCTCATGGGTATTTATTGGTATCATGAACAAATGATTGACATTGTTCCTATGTGCTTATGATTTCCTGGTGATTTTCTTACCCAGCAAAAAAGTACACCTGGAGCCAAGCTCCTGCATGAATATCCTCTTTCATGTTAGTGAAGTTGTTGTAGGTCAAATATGGCCTTTTGTTGATCACATTTTTCTCTAAAATTTTAATAGCTAATCCAAAATCCAGGAGCTTAAAATTCAGCAGGAAAGAGAAGTCTTATACCTTGTGCTTGCAAATGTACTACTACTTAGTACAGTGCTGTTGTGGTAAGAATAGTACTGAATTGAAATTCTAGACTTTTAAATTTTGTTGCCAGGTTTGGTATACAGTAATCATTGGCATGTCATTTAATATCTAAGTGTTTCTATTTTCCCTCTATGCTAAGACACTACTACTTACCGACTTCAGACAACATCTGGTGAGGATTAGCTTTTCTTTAGCTGAAGTACAGATACTTGTAGGACTGGTGCTCTGAAGCTTATCGATATAACTGACCTTATGTTTCAGAGTAATGCAACTTTATGCTCTTTATTCTCTCAGATATCCTTTGGATGATCAGAGGTTTACTTGACAGCTACCATTCAATGCCAATATTGCTAATGTCAGGAAAAGCTAACTATCTTTCACTGGAAAGCTAGCACTCAGATGAGACAGGAGTCTTTCTTCGTACCTCAGTAATAATCCTGTCTCTCTCTCCTCAGTTATTCTGTTTGTGTTACAATTTTTGAATATTTATTTGTCTTTCCAGGTAACCTTAAGTTATGGGGACCCTGAGAACAAACACAATGTTGTGAGTGTAGGAGGAGTATTTGGCCTGCAGCAAGATCCAACTCGGTGAGTGTCATCTTCCAGGGTAAGATCTTCCCCTACTGCTTGTGTTTATCAACTGCAAAATGATCAAATCCACAGATGGGGTTATTTTCTCATGCTAGCTCTTATCAGTCTGCCAAAGACAGAGCCGCTTTCTTAGCTCTGTTACAGCTGAGAAATGACCCAGCTGTGTTCAATGACTAATGTTCCTAGTCTGGAGAACTGCAGTCTCACGTTGTTTCTTTTATTCACAGATTTAAATCTGTCCACTGTCTTCTCTATCCTGATACTATTTGGTGCCCTGCTAAGAAGACTGCTTAATCTTTGACCACTCATGGACACTTGTATCCTACCACTCTGCTGAAGACAGGAGTTTTGATGTGGTGGTTTTTTTGTTTATTGCTTTTTTTTTTTTTTTCCCTCCCTCTGGGAGGAAGACAAATACCTACAAAGCAGAGAGACTGTATTTACAAAGGCAAGACTTTGATCAGATAATTATCACAAGAAGTTGTGGTTTGTTCATCTGCTGCCTGGGATATTCTAGAGAGGAAAAACTTTTCTTCTACTTGCTCCTCGGTCCCTGTGTCTCTCATGTGAATCTGTGCACAGGTATACATACTCGGAATGACAGCATTGTTAGTGCTGTTACAGGCTTTTAGAAGCAGTTGTCTTAAAGCTAGAGTGTTGTAGCAGATTGTAGTCCCCATGGTGACGAGAGATGTGGGAAAAGAATTTTCACTCGTCTTTCTTGGGAACAGAATTATTTAAGAGCTGCTGTAGCCTGGTATATTAAATTGTCTCTGCCTGTGGGCCAGAGCAGGGTCTGTTTGTAAACACCAGGAATCCTAGAATTGCTGGGGCTGAAAGCCTTTGCTGTGGAGAAGCCCTGTGTGAGCTGGCTCAGGACCATGTAGGAGTTGCTTGCAGTGCGCGTTCACTCCAGTAGTCCGTGAATGTACCTCCCATGGAGGTGATGTCAGACTTGGCTTTCTTACCAGGTGAATGGTAGTGGCTGTTGATTATGATGGTGGTCTTTTAGGTCCAAAGGTGGCTAGAACTAGTCCCTTGATATTTGATACTGGGGGGGGGGGGGGGGGGGGGGAATGTCAGGCTACATGGTATTCAGTGCTTTGCCCACAGCAGGCTATGTGGGCCAGAGCATGCTTATTGGTTGATTTAAAAACTTTTTCAAGTCCTGTTATATCCTTTGCTGCCTGACAGTGAAGAGGAATGGTGGGTAGCTGTAATGCCCCAAGGAAATCTGATTTGAGGATGTCTAATTGTATGACTGTGGTTCCCCTACTTCAGCTGAAATCAATCTTTTTGAGGTCTAGGTCTGTGTTTACTTTTACTCTACATTTTAATGTTTAAATAAATAGTTCATGTAATTAATAAAAGAAAGGAGACTGCACACTTGCACAAAAGCAGAAGTTTGCTGCTGATGTAGATTTTAAAGTAAGTGGTGTTGTTTTTTTCCTTAAGTGGAAGAAAGGGAGCTCCACCGTTTTATTCTTCTGTTAGCTTGAACTTGGCCATGTATATTCCCTTCCTGCCATGGTGAAGAATTGCATTAAGTTACTGCTAAACAACTCTTCATTCTAAGAGACTTTTCAGAAAATATTTGCTGGTTACTAGCCATAAAGTCTGAGGCAAATTTAAGGGAAGAACAACAGAACCATACTTTTAATCATAGTTCCAGATTGTATAGCTAAAATGTCAATCTGTCACATTTCAGGTTTCTAAACTGCTGTGTCTAGCTGTATTGAGGGCTTCAGCTAGTTGCTTAACTTGCTATCACTTGAAAAGTGGGATAATATACGAGGTACGACCCACAGTTTAATTCAAAAATGAAGTTGAGCAGAGGTGGCAGTCTCCTAGAAGATACTATTCCCTGCACTCAGTATTTTTGCCCTGGTTAACGTGGGCTTTTTAGCATTTACCTGGGTACATTCTGCCCTCTGTAGTTTTAGCTATTTACACAGAGGAATAAATAAAATGACCTCTATTTGCTACAGTCTTGCAGCCAACTTAAATTTCTTCCCTTGTCCTTACTAAGGCTGTGCAGACACTGTTCTCTGATCATGAGATTGATCAAATCACTGCACTGCTCTTTCTTACTCTCATGTCAAAGTCCAACTAGCACCGTGTTTTGTAACAGGTACACGTGTAACACTGACAGCTAATACTGATGACAACAACACAGAGGGTAGTGTAGGACTTGTGGAAGAGTTGACTGCGGAATGTCCTACCTCTCTGTTACGTCTTCTGCTCCCTAGAACTGAGGTGTCCTGTGGTTTTATTTGTCATTAATAGCTGTGGAGATTCCTGGTATCCATATAAATACCACTGCTTTTTGAAGTACTTACTAGGTTCTTGTTTTCAACTTTGTTCAGCAGAAATCTGTAAACATTCATGAGCTTTCTACGTTATCCCAGATACAGATTTTGAGATTTTGAACACTTTTTTTTTTTTTTTCTCCTCTCTCCTTTGGAGCTTCTCCTCTTTCACTGAGGGCAGTGTCTTGTCAGATATTGTAAACAGTGCAGAACAACTAATAAGCGTTGCCACAAACTGCAGTTCAGAACCCACAGTGTTTCCTACTGATGGCAGCAAAGTTGAATTGTAGAAGTTCTGGGCTCTGTTAAGTTGTGCTGCCGTTTGGTGTAGTTTATAGGGCATTTTATTAAGCTGAAAAAGGCCCATTTCCTTGGTTTAGCAATACAGAGCTGTTCAATATGGTCAAGCTTTTAAGACTTCTACTAAGTGTTGACAATACAATAGGCTTTATGGATATATTGAGGTGGAGTTTTTCAGTTAACCTAATGTCTCATACACAAATGATTCTATAAAATAAATATTTACAGATGTGAAAATCTGTGTATTCTGTTTTTTTTTTTTTTCCATAACCAGGACCTGTACTGCAGAAAGCTGAGCTTCTGAGTTGACAAGTACACTCACAGAGCTCTGTATCCCCTACTGCAGTGTTGTCCTTGCTGCTCTCCTGGCAAAGTAGGGGAGCTGGAGACATCTTCCCTCAGCATCATTAGAGCTAACTTGCTGTATCATAACTTATCCTTTTTAGCATCTTCTAGGCTGTTTCCTTCAGTTTTCACAGGGAGTGAATAGCTGCTGTTGGAGGGGCAGGTGCTACATGAGGGCTCCTGTGCCCCCATGCAGGTGCTTTCCAGGCAGTGATGAGTGGTCCAGGGCAGGCTGCAGGCTTCAGCAGCAGCCTCCAGCAGCTGGAGGGACAGATCCTGCTGCTGTCCCCTCAAAGCCCGGTTTGCTGTGGCCTCTCCCCATGTTGCCCGAGACCCAGAGCCTGGAGAGCCCAGAAGCGGCTGGCGGCGCCGCTGCTGCCGTCTCAGGACGGGGCTGCTCGCGGGCCGCGCTTCCCAAGCGGGCCGGGCTGGGGGCCGGGCCAGGCCGCGGGCCCAGCGCCGCCCCGGGCCCGCCCAGTCCGCGGCCCGCAGCATGGAGCTGGAGCTCGGTTTCCGCGGCCGTCGGGCCTTGGTGACGGGCGCCGGCAAAGGTGACTGGGCCGCAACTCGGGCTGCGGGACGGGCTTCGTGGCCGGCCGGGGCTGACGCCGTCTCCCCGCAGGGATCGGGCGCGCCGTGGCCGTGGCGCTGAGCCGGGCCGGGGCCCGCGTGACCGCGCTGAGCCGCACGGCGGCCGACCTGGAGAGCCTGGCGCAGGAGGTACCGGCGGCGCCTGGGCGCCCGGCAGCCCCCGGCGGGCCCTCCGGCAGCCCCGGGCCTGGAGCAGCACCCCCTGCCCGGGTTGCTCCTAGTTCCGGAGGAGCCCCTTCCCCCCCAGCCCCCTCCCACAGGCCCGTGCCCCGGCTCCCCCCTGCCCGCCGATAATCCCGGTCCCGGCCCCTGCTCCCCACGCGGCCACCCAGCCCCCAGAGCAGCCTCCATGCCCAGCCCCGGTCCCACCATGGACACCCTCCCCCCCCCCGCAGTGCCCTGGCATCGAGCCCCTGTGCCTGGACCTGGCCGACTGGGCGGCTACAGAAGCAGCACTGGGCGCCGTGGGGCCCTTTGAGCTGCTAGTGAACAACGCGGCCATTGCGCAGCTGCAGCCCTTCCTGGAGGTGACCCGCGAGGCCCTGGACCGGTGAGTGCCCGCAGGGGCCAGCTGGCCGTGGCCACTGTGCTGCCCTGGCCTGCTCTACCCAGGGTGCAGCTGGGCCTGGTGCCGAGACCTGCTCTGTGCTGACTGTAACATGTGGCAAAGCTTTTCCAAAACTCTTACCTCTTAGGAAGAGAAGTAGCCATTGAGTTGGTACCAGTGTCTCCACACACCTTTGAATCGCCATTGTATGTGCTTTCTTGGTCGCTTCTGGTTTTGACTCCTTTACTAAAAGTAATCACCTTTCACCCTGTTTTTGAGCATTAGAAAGAAGCTGAGTGAAGCGCAGAAGCTCTTCTATGCAGATACTGAGTGGCCAGACTCTTGTGGCTTTGCCCCTTACTCAACAAGGCAAAACTAACCAAGCTGGGCCTTTTGCTTGGTGTCCAAGCTGTTCATCCACATTGTCCAGGCTAGTACTAACCCAACAGAAATGCTGATAAAACAATTCAGTTAGAGAAGACAAAGCTAGGTAAAGGTATACAAAAGACTGTGGAAAATTAAAATCACTTATTTTCTTCAACAACAAAATATCATGATGGATCAAGTTTTGTCCCTTCACTAAAAATGGCAGGTGTGCAGCTATATTAAAAAAATTGATTTGTAGCTAGATTACAAAATGCAGACATTCTACTTTAGATCATTGCATAGAAGAGGCTGGTGACAACCTGACTAAGGATTATATGGCAAATAAAAGAAATGCTGTTCCTATTTATTGCTTTAAGACTGGTGACGGTTTGGTCTAAGAGGAGGCATAGGCTCAGGCCTCTGGTTAAACTTTAATGATGGTTCATTTGCTGAAGAACATAGTCCTGATAGAAGGAAGCAGACTGCATCACTCCCTCTGCACAGGGAAAGAGGCCAGTGAACAGCTTGCTAGTTACGGTTAGTGCCCAAAGTGAGTGTAATTCATCTTACTAGTCAATCTTTTCTCTCTGTGGTAGATATTCATCTGGTGTTTTGCAGGTGCTAGCAGCACTAGACCTCTCCTGCCTCATGAAACAATTCTTATCTGGCCTGAGCTGCAGCTGCTCTGTAACTTTTTGATTTATTTGTAGGTCTCTTGATGTGAATTTTCGGGCTGTGCTTCATGTTTCCCAGGTGAGGAGGAATTTTAACTACAGTTATCTCAGAGCCACAGTGACTAAGTTGTTCAGCAGAGTGGAGATAAGTCTTAAATCCAATGTTAAAACTGACAACTTGTGTGTATTGTCCCTTCACCCAACACACACACACACACACACACACACACGCACACACACACGCACACACACACTCTCCTTTCTTGTCTACTGTAATATTCCAGGATGATTCCTACTGAACGGAATGGTGATTTATGGTGATTTCTCCCTCTCTGATTCTGTCACCCTTTTGTTTCCAGATTGTTGCCCGGCAGATGATTGCACAAGGACTGCCAGGTGCAATTGTAAATGTCTCTAGCCAGGCATCTCAGCGTGCTCTGCGGGATCACGCTGTCTACTGTAAGTGCGTATAGCTTTGGCATTGCCTCTCTCATCTTTGCTGATAGCCACCCAGGCTGCCAGTTCTGGGCAGAACAAATTGCCTATGTGTGATCCAAACCAAGTGCTGTACACTAAAAAAGCCTCTTGTTCTCCCTCTCTACTAAAGGCTCTACAAAAAGTGCTTTGGATATGCTGAGCAAGGTAATGGCTATGGAGCTGGGACCCCACAAGGTAGGATTTTTTTTCTCTGAAAGAAATTTGGAAGCTGAAGTGTCAAAGCTGCACAAGCATGAGCAGTTCTTCTCAGAGCAGCCTGGTTATTTGGTGTGTTTGTTGTTCTTGGTCCCAGATTAGGGTGAACACTGTGAACCCCACAGTGGTTATGACTGATATGGGGAGAATCAATTGGAGCGACCCTCAGAAATCTGCTGCCATGATTAGCCGAATCCCACTGGGAAAGTTTGCAGGTCAGTGGTGTGTATTTGTTACCAGGCTCAGATCTCTGTCATAGCCAAGATTTTCCCCTAATTGACATCACAGCCATAGGTAGCTTATTTTGTGGGCAGAACCCTCTCAGTTTAGGACAGGCAGAATGCACTTGCTCTACTACTATTCGTAACTATGAGTGGCAGGGGAAGTGCGTAGGTGCTTGCTGTGAACAAAGTATCTATTCTGTGATTGCAGCAAGGACATGACCAGCTCTTACTCCAGCTGCACAGTGTATCAAACCATGTACAGTCAGGAGAGAGAGATTCTTCCCCATTTCAATTACCTTTAGAGGCCAAAACATACCTTTTAGGATGCTTTTTCTAGTACCATTTCAGATGTTCTCTGTGTGTTTGATTCCAGAGGTGGATGATGTCGTGAACAGCATTCTCTTCCTGCTCAGTGACAAGAGTGCTATGACAACTGGCAGCTCATTGATGGTTGATGGGGGATTTCTTGTCTCCTAAGATGACACATTCATTTCACACCTGGCATTAATTTTCATACTAATACCACACAGATGTAAACTACCTGGAAAACAGTAAGAGGCACAGAACCCGTGCTGCAAGAGAGGAGGGGCAGCAGGGTTGAAACCTGTATAAGAAGTGATGCAGAAAATTACCCTTAGAAGACTTCTATATAATAAAACTCACGTACGCTGTCATGGAGAATGTTTATTGCACCAAATAAGGTTTTGTCTTTTCACTCTACATGATGATTAGAAACCGGACCTGTCTTTGTTCCAACCCTCTCCCCCCACAACCCTTTGGAAGCTCTCCCAACCACATCCATACAGTCCACCTTCACTTTGAGTGGGAAGGGAAGGGAGAAGCTAGCAGACTCCTCACCGCTTCCTTTACTGTCTTTAGTAGAAAAATCAAACCAAACCAAACAAAACAGAGGCAACAACCTCAGCCCTGCTCTGCAGAGACTGGATTGCAGGGGGGGAGGCCCTGCTAAAGACTGATGAGGAGGGAGCAGCACCATGCTGTCCTACAATGTGCGCGCATTAAAAGGCAAATACATTGACTGCACAGGGCTGTTTCACTCACTGAGTTTAGTTAGTACCCAATAAAGCACTGAATGATTAGTACTTTATCTTTGCATCTCATTCATTTTTGACCCTTTCAAAAGCTGGTTTTGATCCTGTAACAGTCTCAGGCACATGTCTGCTAGAGCACTGATTTGTTAGCCACACCAGGCTGGGTATGGAGCCCCTACTACTATAACTGCTCTTGTCACTCAACACCTTTTATATCGGCTCCTTCCCCGCTCCCACAACGATCTTCATCACCTGCTTCATCCTGCCGGTATAAAGCAGCTGTTTCCAGCACAGGGTGGATGTCTCAGCTCTTTCAGCTTGGAGTTCGGGAGAGCCACAATAGCCTATTGCCCCAAGGAGCCACCTTGCCTTCCCCACTGTACCTCCCCTGGGGGCTTCAAATCCCCCCAGCTAGTCTCCTGCCCCCACTGCCCCTTCACATCAACACTGACGTCAAATCAAAGAGACATTTAAAAAACACTGACTTCGTACATGATGAAGGGCCCTATACATCCCAGCCCCCTCCAGAAACACTCAGTTAATATGCAATCTGTAGGAGGACAACAACATGCTGAGCCAGCACCCAGGCCACAGCCCTCAGAACACGGTGCACTTTTTGCCAGGCTTCTTCACAGGTGGTGGGCAGAGCACAGCTCGGATAGCTTCATCAAACACCGTCTTCAAACCCCGCTGCGTCAGGGCAGAGCACTCAAGGTACTTTACCGACCCTAGGGGAAAGAGAGCTCCATCTCAACCACTCCAGTCCTACCAGGTAACAGCATCCCTCACCCAGTCAAAAAAGGAAAACAAACAAACAAAAAGACCTCAACCTCGTCGGGGTTTGCCATCATATTCAACTTACCAATCTCACGAGCCATGGCCAAACCTTGGGGGTAGGTGATAGGGGCCAGTTTCTTATCACGTAGCCTTTCAATGGTGTCCTTATCATCCCTCAAGTCCAGCTTGGTGCCCACCAGAATAATAGGTGTATTTGGACAATGGTGTCGGACCTCAGGATACCACTGGAAAAGAGAAAACAGTAGTTGTGGCAGGAGATGCAACGACACAGATGCTTTTACTATTGGGAGCATGGCTTTTAGGAATATCTGAAATTTTCGCAGCACCTGAACAGGTGACTTTTACCTACATTCCTGAATATGCCAGGAGACTGGTGTAGATGTAATAACAAAGGCACAGAGAAAGGGAATCACAACAGATGGTATCTGCCAGCTCCGCACACGCTGATTCCTTTAACTCCATTTTTCCTTCTAGGACATCCCATCCCTGATCTTCTTTAAGACTCAGATTCCAAAAGGCAAAGATTTAGCCAAAGAACTCATTAATACAATAAGCCCCTCAGAAGGGGCTTATAACTTCCTCCAGACTAGGAATTTCCATCTCATACCATGTGGGCGATGAACACACTCTCACACACACAAACACACACACTCACATTCTCTCTCAAAAAAAGTCAAAGAACGTTATGGAGTTGTAAGTATGATGCTGAGTGGGACATGGGACTTCACTGCCTCCTCCCTTCCATTGTTTCCTTGGCAGGAGAACACATTACCTTTGCTCTGACATTCTCAAAGGAAGCTGGACTCACAAGGGAGAAGCAGATCAAGAAAACATCCTGTGTGGAAACAAGAGTCAAGACATGTGAAAAGGAACAGCAAGAGATAATGGAGGGAGGGTGGAGAGGGAGCCTTACAGAAAACAATGTCCTTTCACCAATGAGGATCACAGCTGTAATAAACTGTTCCCCCTTCAGGGGACAAAATAATTCACAGAGTGCAGAGATGGACTTTCAGTGTATGACTTCATCTTGATGCACAGTACCGGGCCATATACATTAAGAGCTTGTGGTCACAAATCCCTTAGTTGTGATACGCTTTTTCTACCTGATGGAGCATGTGCAATCACTACAAGTACTACTATCAGTACAGTCCAGTAGCAAGGTGTGTCATGGAGAAAAAAAATGGAACCATGAACACTGCTGGGCTGCATAAAAGTCCCACTACATTCCTTGCACCAGACTCTGCCAATCGCACATGTCACTGTTCAAACCCCATTACAATGTAGGGACTAACACAGGATGATCAGCTGGGAAAATTTCAGATGTGATCCTCCTTAAAGAATTAGAATTTTGGCTGCAGCTGCAGGAACTTAGCTTTGCCTTAAAGGAAAGCAGTTTATTTACAATCTGGCTGTCCTTGGAAATTGTCCTGTCCCCAAAAAGAAACAACTGCAAATAGGTCCAAGCCCAATACTCACCGTTTGTGGGTAAGAAAGAGGCCTCAGTCGGTCATAGTCCTCTTGCCCTGCTGTATCCCAGAGGCCTAGGTTCACTGGCTTTCCATCTACCATGACATTGGCAGAATAGTTATCAAACCTGCCAATGAATAATCCTCTTTAGTGATAATCTTGTTAAGACCCACGCATGACTTGCATGAAATCCATGGGAAAGGTGAATCAGGAGGGGACACTAGAACCCAGGTCCGATGTGTGTCAGGGTGTACTCTGCCACTCAACTCTACAGCGAAACACCACTGGCACCATCCTCACACTGGCAGTTCACTGCCTGAGCAGGTACAGTGTTCTCTCCACTGACAAAATCTACTTCTACATGTGTACACATACTGAGTAAAGCCCAGTGCTACTACTCACACAGTGGGGATGTATTCTCCAGGAAAGGCATTTGTGGTGTAGCTGATCAGCAAGCAGGTTTTCCCTACAGCTCTGCAGAGGATGAAAGAGACAAGCATAAAGACAGGCACAGCAAGAAGCAATGAAGCAGAAAAACTTCCTCTTTTCCTTACCCCAAGAAAGGATCAGGCAAAAAGGTAATATGCGAGGAAACAGATTTATAACAGGGGGAATGCTCTGCCTGCCAAGGACTGTGCCTGAACTCACCCTCTGCATCTTGCCTGAGCACACACCTGACCCTGCACTTTTGCTCCTTTTCTCCAGCCCTCCAGGTCCAGCAAAGAGCCAGGCAAAATGTATTTGTTTCAAGAATCAAGAGAGGGAATAAACGGGGCTTCTGTGCTAGGCTCACTGCTGCTCAACACATCCAAAATAACATAGCAAAATAGATAAACAGTGGGGTAAAAAAATCAGTAAATCAGAATTATGCAAGCTCCTCAGATATAGGAATTCAAAGACAGTAAACAGAAATGGAAAAAAATCAGGTACACATAAACAACCTTTAAACTGAGTACTATCCCTTTGGAAATAAATTTTGGCATTAGTATAGATTACTAAAAATATCATGCAGGATTTATTGAAGGTAGATGGGATAGGTGGTCCCAGTGGTGGCAGATGACAAGGGTTGAACCTGGCTGACAACAGATTTAACACATCAACTTTTGTTAACAGGAGAAGGGAGCAGCTTAGCTACGAAAACAGAAGAACTCTGTGAATATAAAAATCCATCACAGTGAAAGTTGTGAACTCTGGAGAACTTTCCAGAGGTGCAGGTTGCGAGCAGCAGAGCAGGGACTGCAGTCTGTGAGGTTCCTGAGTGACTCTGAACAGCCCGCTGAGAATGAGGTTTTCTCTGATTAGTTTCAAAACTGAGGTAACGTGGGAAGGAACCCCAAGGTCCTACAGCAGAACTGCACTGAGTGCTGCAACCACTGCACTGCCTGATCTGTGCCTGCGCCGGGACTGTGTGCTCCCAACTGCCCCTGGAAAAGGGCAGTTGTGTAAGGAACCGCCAGGCTCATCTGACCAGCTTTTCTCCTGGGGTACATCCTCTCCCCACAAAACACGGAATTCATAGAAGTTGCATATATCTGTGATCAGTGCGTTTTGATAGTCAAGATCATTTAGCTAATTTGGTTTTCAGCTGCAACCTCAGCTAGCAAAGTGTTAGCTGAGGTCCTTGCTTCAGTGACTGGAAAAGCAAATGGAATACTTAGAAATATTGGTAGGTATGTAGGGAACAAGCAGCAGAAAGTTACTAATCCTGTCTGCTGCGCAGCCTGTCCCAACGAGGCTGCACTCTCCACAGAGCCGCGCGGAAAAGCCGGGGCACGAGGAGAAGGACAGCAAGAGGCAGGTGAGGAGCAGCGGTGTGGGCACCACGGGCCCCTCCGGACAAAAGCAGACGGGAGCCTGGGAACGCTGCGGTTTCGGGAGATCGCTGCCACACACCATCCCTGCACGCGGGGAGACCGGGAGCGGAGCCCGGAGCAGGCAGCGCCTGTCAGGACGCTCGCGTGTGCAACATCCTCGTGCTGAGGGCCGGACACGGAGCGCACCGAGCGGGGCCGGGGCACCTGATGCTGCCGCCCGGCTGGGCCGGGCCTGGGCCGCCCCGCAGCGCCCGCCGCCTCGCGCCCG